TTAGGGCCACTATAAGTTCGTTCCGACTTGACGGCACAGAACACACTCAGAAATTCCAACCATCGTGATTAGAAGTTCGAACACTCTCCATGAAATTTCTTTTCCATACATTTGAAATAAGGCCAGACCCGTAGACTCCTTCCTTTTTCCTTGTGTGTGTATGAGTGTGCTTTTGTACAGACCCATTCACGCGCCTCCTAAAAGCAAAGAGAGAATCAATTGTAAATCCACTATTAATAAAAAAAAACTTCTTAAAATTTTGACTCTGTTTCAGCCTCGAGTCACCCAAATTGTATTTATCAATGTAAACATTTATAAAGCAAGGTCATCAGAATTGTTTTGGGGGGCGGGTTGTTTCTTAAAGGTACTTCCTTAGGAGAAGTCTCTCTCCCGGTCCCCCTCGTCCACAAACAGGCCTGTCATAATTATGTCTTATCAGTAGGTCGTGCCATCTATTCATTCTTAGATGAGGGTGTGTGTGTTCTCGGTTGTTGTTTTACTAACAACAACAACAACAACAACAACAACAACAAAAAGTCAGGACAGGAAATTAGAAGCAGAGAACGACGAGGACTAGAGAAAACCTGCCTCTGTCTTCCCAAGATTTATTAGCATAACTTGACACCTAATTGCGAAGCACGTGAATCTATAAAGCTTTTTCCCTAGCCTGCGAGGCCTAGGTCCACCACGAAGCGATTTGCATATTTCCTTTCCCTTACTGACGCCGTCAGGAAGCAACCTTGGCGTTTGCCCAAGCCCGGGGGGGGGGAGGAATAAACCCCCTTTCTCCCCCTCCTCCGCCCTGAGAAACGAAATTCTACGTATCTTTCTCCTTATTTTCCCCCTCCCCCACCCCTTTCCGCTTCCCGTCGCCGGGTGTTTTCATTATGATGATGATGATGATTATTGCTTCATTTTTAACCTCCATTTATGCATTGCCTTGTTGGGGATTTTATATCAGCTATTCTTTCTGTTTTCCCCTCCGCGGCACCCTGTCTGTTCGTCTCTCTCTCTCTCTCCGTCTCCGCTCCCTCTCTCTCTCCGTCTCTCTCTCTCTCTCCGGCTCCCTCTCTCTCTCCGTCTCTCTCTCTCTCTCTCTCTCTCTCTCTCTCTCTCCTGCCTTCTGCTGTAATGCCAGAGGCCATTGTTAACCGTGAACAGGGCGTACCAAGACTATAGGGCAGTCAGAATCAAAGGATTCCCTATACATCTTTGGAAGGCTGTCTAGAATCTTGAGATTTCTACCTCTCCTCACCTTCCCCCCACTCCTTCCCAAATGGAGAGACTGAGAGAGTGTGTGTGTGTGTGAGTGAGTGTAGACCCGAGCATCCCTCACCGTAAGCTCCTATAGAGATGTCCCCCCTCCTTTTGGCGTTATGACCGGATTTCTCTCTCTAGATATTCCGTGAACATTTAGAAAAAAAAACACGAGAGGAATGGGGGGGAGCTCTCCTCGCTTATTGATTGCGTTGGTTGCTGGCTGAGAAAATATATTATGTCTGCTCGCCGCGCTGCTCTCGTCAGAGGCTAAGGTAAGGTGGACCGAAATAGGCTATCAGTTTGTGAATGGCGGAGACCGTGTCTCCATGATTTATAGCTGTATGACTCGCATCGCGGTTCATGAAGAGTTCACAAGCTTTAAGCTTCCTTCCACGCAACGACTCTCTCTCTCTCTCTCTCTCTCCCCCTCTCCCTCTCTTCTTCTTCTTCTTCTCCCCCTCCTTCCCTCCCCTTCGTTCTACCCCCTTTTCTTTTCTATTTTTGCTATTTTCACCCCTCTATTTTTCTCCCCCTTTTCTCTTTCCCTTTTCATCTAGAACGGTTTCTTTTTCTCGTTCTTCTATTTTCCCCTCTTCTTTTTTTCCTCTTCTCCGTGCTCTCTCTCTTTCTGATGTGATGGAGAATTAGTTTCTTTTTTAAAAAAAAACTAAGAGTAAATCTCAGATTGCAGACAAAATGTTTAAACTGTTTTGAAACTCAGTCGTCATCACCATTATTATCATTATTGTTGTTGTTACTGTTGACTTCGGCCTAGTATGGGGAAATAGACTACCAGGGGAAAGGGTCTTCTATTTTTTCCCCTCCATATTAAGAGTATGACTGAGAATTTTAGAATTCTTTTTCCATCATGGAGGTGAAAGAGAAAGAAACAGCTGCTATTTCTATTTCCCTCACCATTGATACAGTCTTCAGTTTGGTCTTCTCACAAGCCCTTAAAGCTTCTTTATGCCTCTTCGATTCAAATTCAAAAGAAAATTTTTTAAAGCAAAACATCTCTTTTGCCAAAGTTACCAAGGAGAGGCACATTTATTTTGAAACCAGATTCTTCTTTGGAAATAATTTTTAAACATGAAACTTCTACACATGCAAAAAAATAAAACTTCAGAGCTGGGGTTATAATTTCAAAGACTAACTACAAATGCAATTTCTAATTTCAACTAAAATTTCAGTATGTGTTATGTGTATATTTTTAAAAAATAACAGCAGCAACAATAATTCCTTGGGGTAAATCATTTGCCAATCCACCCAGGTTCGACTAAGATAAATGACCAACATTTGGGGTGTATTGAAAGATGAGTTACAAAAGAGGACTGAAATCTTGGCTACTGAACATACAAACAACTTGGGATTCCTTTTCTGAGAAGAGTAGAAGAGCAGATTAATTTTTAATGTACTATTTAATTTAAAAAAAATAATTTGCTGCTTACATCTTATAGGCTCTCCAGAGGTCCCAGAAAATCCAAAACAAGCCAACAAGGCCTAGTAAAATATCATTCTGGCTAAACTCCTCAGTCAATTTCAGCAAACTCATCTTTCATAATCAAATGAATGATTACCTCTTTTCTTTTTTCCTTCTAATTAGTTCATTGGGAAGAAAACCCTAGACAGTTTATGTGGGCTAAAAAAAAAATACTCCTGGAAAGAGAAGCCAGACACACTATCATTCTTTGCAGGAACACCCAGGAAATATTTTAAGTGCTTAGTTGTGGAAAACAATGGTTATGTCTCAGCCATGGACAATGAACACAGCATAGTATTTTGGAGCACTTCTGCAAGCTATCCTTATGAACTGAAGAGGAGAATGAGGTCAGGCAGTGAGTGAGATGAGATCTGAATTACTTTTAGATTTTGAACTACGTATTTTAGGGATAACAGAAGGCAAAGGTAGCAATCTGTCATAGTTCACACACACACACACCCCCAAGATCTTCCACTATTTCTAATGGTCTGAAATAGCTAATACAGTACTATTTTGAATTCCAGCAGAGACTAGAATAGAATCTAGCTTATGGGAAAGAGGCATTTGAAATGAAATACAGAATGGCAGAATATAGGGAAAGAGGAATTCTTTTGTATGTATATATGTATACACACACAAGCAGTCAGAGACCGTCATAGAGATAAAATAACACTAACACGTATCTTCCTTCTACTAATTTATTTTCTGATCTTCTAAATCATTTCAGTCTTCTTTCACCCTCGGAACTTGGAAGATGTTAATGTTTCTGTCAAGGACTGATCTTTTCTTTTCTATTCTATTTTTCTTTTGTTATGAGGGAGGCATCTTCTCCCACCATAAGAAAAAGGACGACAGACCAAGCAGGGAACCAAATGGCTTGGTGACTAAGTTGGGTTTTGTTCAAAAGTAAAGATGAGAAGAAATTGGGGGAAACTGGTTTAGGAAAGAGGCCAGACTCACACCCTGAAGTGGCAACTGTCTGCAGGAAAGAGAGCTTTCCCTGCTCCACTTCCAAACTGCAACCAGTGTCATAAAAACAACGCACATATACATCAAAAGAGCCAGCTTCAAAGAATTTAATATAAATGTCCAATTCTGACAATATCTTCACCTTTCAGTTGAACACAAAACTGTGCAAATTTGCCAAAATCGCAGAAATTGAATCCATTATAATCTACATCATGCATTTTTAAAATATGAATGTTACACTTAATTTATGCATTTAAAAGCTTGATTTTGATTAATTTTAAGGTAACTGTTAAAAACAATATTATTCTACCTATACTTGTTCACTTTGTTGCTGTTGATTCCCTGAGGCTCCTAACTCTTGAGAGGAAACAAATCAGATTAGGAGAATATTAAATCCTAATATTGCAACATGAATTCAGGTTACAATAGCTTAATTTGAGGCCTGTACCTATGTGTGTGTCTATGTATATATATATATATTCCTATATATATATAGGAAAACATGGAAATGCTACCAGCACTGATGTAAAATAATCTATGCAGAAAAGGTCTACCAAGTGAGTTTGTATCTCAAGCATTCACTTTGTTTAGCATGGAAGTTAGTCTCTAGAAGAGTCCAACACAACTTCTATATCCATGTTAGGTTTTCTCCCCAACTGAATCCCTGTAATAGAGGATAAATGGGTTGGGACAGACATGGAAAGCAAGGATTCTACTGCTTTCACTCCTTTTTTTTTAATGGGAGAGGGGAATACCTGGTTCTTGTTTGAGTATGCTTATCTTTCTCAGTGTGCAGATAAATATTAGGCATCCACAACCATGCAGATTTTAGTGAATTGGGCTGAAAGGCCTGCAAGAAATTCTGCTGCTGCCTTATGTCTACATGTATTTTACACCTACACGAGCAATTTATAGATAATGGCTCTTGCACTCAACTCTAGAACAACAAATCGGAAATAAGACCAGGGTGATGCTGTTGAGATATTGATTGATTTTGTAACCAAGCGTGCGTCAGCGGACACCCCTCCCCCAAATTTGGTTTTGAAATATTCGATGTGGCCACTGCTCCTCCAACGGAGAGACAAGAGGCGCGCCCAAAAGCACCAGGCAGGCAGAAATCTGTTTGCAAGAGGCGGCAAGAGCATCTGCTGTCCGCTCCCCACCCTCCTCCTCCTCCACCTCCTCCTCGGTAGCCAGCGAGCTAGGCTATTCATGTCACGAGGCTTTTCAATGGCCAAGATGGATTCATAGGCCGTTCGGTATTATTGTGTGTTGCCTTCTAACCTTTCAGGTCAGCTTCCAAAAGACACCGGGGAAGGCCCCACCACCACGTGACCTTGGGGGTGCCAATGTCCTTCCATGAGGGGGTCAACCCGAGCGTGGTAGCAGCGAGCAAGAACCTCGGGCAGCCCCAGCAGTCATGCAGAAGGCCACCTATTATGACACCTCCACCCTCTTTGGGACATACTCCTACCCAGGAGGGGCCAACGGGTTCGGCTACGAGGGCCCCGTGCCGCAAGCTTTCCAACCGGCTGCTCACGTGGAGAATGACTACCAGAGGCCGGCCTGCACCCTCCAGTCTCTTGGCAACCCGGCCCCGTTGGCCAAAACGAAAGACCTGAATGGGAGTTGCATGCGGCCCAGCCTGCCTCAGGAGCACCACCCGCCCCCGCCTATCTCACCACCGTCGAACCCCATCACCACCCCGACCAGCAACAGCAACAGCAACAGTAACAATGGCGGCGGTGGCAGCAATAACCATAACCAGCCTGGGGGTGTCAAAAGTGCCTCCAGCAAATCCAGCTTGGGCTCTAATAACACCGGCCTCGCCAAGCAGATTTTCCCCTGGATGAAAGAATCGAGGCAAAACTCCAAGCAGAAAAACAGCTCCCCCACCACAGGTATCTGCTTTTGGAAATAACAACCGCAAAACACACAATCTCCCCTGGACACCAGGGCTTGGTAAAGTAACTTTGGGAACAACCATTTCTTAAATTATCCTGCTAGGATGGGGAGAGGCCATGCTGGCTAGGAGATTCTTAGGAACTGGAGTTCAAAAAGTAACTTTTGTAAACTCTTCCAGAAAAAAAAATAACAACCCACACTCATGTAAACATTTTGGCTAAAAAGAAGGGGAGAAGTGAGACAGGAGCTTGTGCAGTGTTGTCAGCCCTAGCTGGAAGCAGAATTCTTTGCTAGCCCAGCTTGGAGATTTCTGGTACCCCATGGTGGCCTCCCATTCCAGGCACTAGCCAGGACCATGAGATTGGGCTGTTCAGAATGGTAGAGTGCTGTGTGATGATTTCGATGCCCTACCAAAACATCTCAATGTCCCCCACATCCCCACAATTGTAGGGGGTAATGTATATTTCTTGGTTTACCTCACAACATAGTAAGCCAAATCTGCTGGCTTATTTTGTACTGTGTGGGAATTCAGACTTTTGCACAATAGTATCTCTGGCTAGTTGTCGAAATTCTCTTTTCTAGAAGAAGCCTGTGTGTGGGTAACTTTGCTTGAAAGGAGATATTGATAGATGGGATCCAGCAGGATATTCTGCCAGAATATTTTCCTGTCCAAGTGCCACGGAAAATCAGCGTGGCAGGCCCCAGTTCCCAGTGTGGCAGGTCCCTGCTCAGTACTGGTCATCTACCATCTGCAGCTGTACAAGGACGGAAGTGTTAGGCTCACTGTCCAAACAGCTTCCCATGTGCCAAGAGAGGTATTAGGGGAAAGGTCCTAGTTCTGACAGTGAAGAGCAGGAATGGCTGTTAGAGAAAAGAAAGCAGGAAAAAAAACACAGTGAAAATGGTGATTGGAAGTAGGAGCTTGTGCCTGAAAGAGGAACTTGATATGGAAATGGAAAATGCCCTGATGAGGAAGGTAGGAAGAAGCAGGTGTCAGGGTATGGTTTAGAATGACAGACAAGACTGGGACAGAGCTCAAAATACAAATATATGTATGTACATATATATAATAGAACTGACCAAAATCTCCATGCCAGCTCGGCCACTAGCCATACCCACTGAGGAATGCTTGTTCAACTACAACTTTTCTAGCCACTGGTCTGGGAGTGCATGATGAGGATGGCAACACCGTTATATCAGTTTTTGAGGTGTGTAGGGAGGCCGAGGGACAAAAGAAGGCAAGAATATGGGTAAATATACCCGTCAAAAGACCAGACTTCCATTTTATCCATGAAAGATTTGGGAATGATCAATTGAACTTTAGAAGCAGCCAGGTATGCTGAACAACCCCTACCCCTAATTTTGTTTCCTGGGGCAATGCTCTCAGGGATTCGTGTTCAAAGCATCTCTTATATAGATCAACTTGTATGGGTGCCAGTAGGAGAGGCTGATCTACCTGTGTAGCATGGTGACACAGAGAATAGATTGTACCATTTCAGGTTACAGGTGGGAAGAGATGTTTTGGAATGCTACCCATTATAACATTAAACTTCTAAAATCCTTGGAATGAAACAGCACTTGCAGAAGAAAAGTTCTCTTCTCTGTTTCCTTCTGTGGAAATTAATTATTGCAAGGGTTTTCTTTTTAATCTAAGGAATTGTTCAAGCATTGAAGTGGCACTACCACCACTTGATTTGTCACCTTCTTCCTCCTATCTCAGTTTGCAGAATGCAGAACAGGTTAAGTTGAACCAGACATTCTGGCCAGAGCTGGTTCATCATGAATGAAAAGTCACTGGTTTATAATGCCTGTTTGTTTTACACCTGACAAGACGTGTTTTCATCAAAGCCTAGAGATGTGTGCTATATTCCGTTTTATAAACCACTGGTTTAGCATGGATGCTCACCAATACCAGACAGAGAGTAGCTGATTTGTTGCACACAGGATGAGTGCTGTTGCACAATCTCTCCACTATTATTCCAGAAGAAATGGCATTTGTCCATATATAATCTAGTAATTTAGCACAAGTCCTTCCTGATAGAAAAAGGGCACACTTGTGCTTGGTATTTAGAGTTATTAAGCAGAAAAGGGATGAAAGCCTGCAGGAGCTTCAGACTCTCAGTATCATTCCTAACACTCTGAGGTCAGAATCCTAAACAGATTTACTTGGAAGCAAGCATGTGTACATCATTGGAACTCAACGCTAAATCTACCTTAGTGTTGGGAACCACTGGCCTAAAGTAAAGCTTATCATAACCTATTTTCTATGAGGAAGTAGTTAAGTCTGTCCTGGCATGTTGCCGAAATTTAAGTGGCAAAATAAAATTAAAATTTAAAGATAAATGAGAGAGGGAGAGTACAATAATATGGTACTATAAAGGCTGACAGATTTATTTCAGTGTGAGCTTTTGTGAATCAAAACCCACTTCCACTTCTTCCAACACAAAGAGTGGAAGTACATGGTCTCTATATTTTTATACACAGCACTTGATAATAGGTATATTTATAAATACAGACATCTATTTGCACTCTTTGCATCTAAAGAAATGGATTTGTGCAACAAAAGCTGACACTGAAAATACATGCATGCATGCACACACGCACGCACGCGCACACACACATACATACAATCTGCTGCAAGGATAGAGAATATGTAGCCCTATAGATATACCAACAATTAGCCTGGGAGAAAATGAAAAGGAAATCTACTAAGGAGAGAGGCAGCTGACAAGCATTCTAAAACTGTTCACATCTTGCCAAAAATAAAAGCCATCGAGCAGATTTTCTGAGCAAATGCCCATAGAATCAGAGTCTACACTGACATGTTTGTGTTAAAATCATTACAGTATTACAATCACAGTGCATTCGAAATTTCACTGATTCACACATCGATGTGTCCCACTTGATCTCAAAGGCTCGTAGGTGAATGTGAAAATTTCTTTCCTCTGATCTGTGGAGGCTCTTTAATTTGCCACTTCATGTTGCAATCATTGTGAATTCAGCCCCACTTCAACTGGGACCAGTTAGTTCCTCTCAAGTAAATATGGCAACAATACTTGAACCTCTTATCAAATACTTTCAGAATTTTCAAATTGTCACAGTTTCCAAATTGCTTTCACCACACAAAAAGGAGTCTGCATTTCTCTATGCTTACAGCAGCAGATCTGTCAATATCTTTGACTCTGTGTTGTATACAGGCCTGCTATGTCAGTTGCTTTGATATTCTGCAGAGTCACTGAATGCAATAGCGTGGCATGGTAGACCTTTGTGATTATAGCAGCTACCTAGTTTCCAATACTGGGTTTGGGTTTGCATTAACAAAAAAAATGTTTCCCTACATTTAAAAAGTAATCAAGTGTATAGAGATGTAGCATAAGAGAGTGAAGAATGGGCTAAAACCTTTGTCCCTGAAGTTTTAGTTTTCTTATTGCAGGGAGTTTTGGGAGGAAAAATGCCTGAGAAAGAGATAGTGGATTGCAATGTAAAGTAATAAAGCCTCAGTGCATTACCACTTCATCTTCTTACAAGTGTGAACTAGGCTTAAACCCCACTGAATCACAGTTGATCTTATAGTTCAAATAATGACCACAGCTTCCAAGTAAACACCACTAGCTCATTAATTTGCATGGCAAAACTCATATTTATTTTTAAAGCCCCAGATTATTTTTAAAGCCCCACCAGTATTTAACTGTGAGAGAAAGAGGTGCTAGGATTCTGGTTTGTATGCGAAGAAAGTGTGCCTTTTCCTTTGGAGGCTTTAACTCCAATTTCTGATGTTTGGATGCTACTCCATTGAAAGAAAGGGGAGCTTTCTATTGGACAGTGTCCCCAATAATTGTAGTATATCTGTGCATCTGAAAGAGAGAGAAAGAGAGAGAGATCTATTAGCAATTATATATTAAGACCTGTGTACTAAAGGCATATGTAGAAGCATGCCTGTCCTTCTGAGCTCCTTAAACCCTGTAGAATATCAAAGTAACTGACATAGCAGGCCTGTGTACACCAGCGCCTGATTAATTTTGCTTTCCAAACACTGCCCACTTGCCAGACGTAATTTCCTTTGAAAGGGTCTGTTTCAAAATAATCGACTCCCAAATAAATAGCCCTGGATTCCTTTTCTGCATGACATGATCAAATTTTCATAAAGCGAAGGGGCAGCTTCGGAGAACAGAACTCTTAATAAATGACATGATTATGGAGTGAGGACTGGAAGAGAAGGAGGGGAGGCTGAATTCTTTCTCGCCTGTTGGAGGATTTATTAAGAGGCCTGTGCATTCAATTTTCTGCATGTAAGTAATTATCTTTGATTTCATTTCCCCCGACCTCCCTTTCCCCCCAGAAAGCTGCAGTGGTGAGAAAAGCCCCCCAGGCAACTCCTCGGCTTCCAAGAGGGCTCGTACGGCTTACACCAGTGCCCAGTTAGTCGAGCTGGAGAAGGAGTTCCATTTCAACCGCTACCTTTGCCGGCCCCGCCGGGTGGAGATGGCCAACCTGTTGAATCTCAGCGAAAGGCAGATCAAGATCTGGTTCCAGAACCGGAGGATGAAGTACAAAAAAGACCAGAAGTCAAAAGGCTTGGGCTCTTCCTCAGGGGGTCCTTCCCCAACGGGAAGCCCACCCCAAACCATGCAGTCCTCAGCAGGCTTCCTGAATACCTTGCACCCCATGACTTCGAACTATGATGCCCCCTCGCCGCCTTCCTTCAACAAACCCCACCAGAATGCCTACGCTATGCCCGCTGCCTACCAAAACCCCATCAAAGGTTGTCCCGCCCAACAGAAGTATGCTAACACAGCACCTGAGTATGATCCCCACGTTTTACAGGGTAATGGAGGAGGAGGAGGAGGTGGTGGAGGAGGCTACGCACCCCCCAACATGCAAGGCAGCCCAGTCTACGTAGGTGGGAGCTACGTGGATTCTATGCCCAACTCAGCTCCCTCACTTTATGGGCTGAACCCTCTCCAACATCACCAGCCGCCAAGCATGGAGTACAGTGGGGCCCCCCCAATGGGCCCCAACCAGCACCATGGACCCTGCGAGTCCCACCCAACTTACACAGACCTTTCCACCCACCACGCTTCCACTCAGGGTAGAATCCAAGAGGCACCCAAGCTGACCCACCTGTGAGGAGGGGCAGGACAGACTCAGGGGGAAGGGGAGTTAATGGAGAACTGGGACTGGGGTGGGTGGGAGTTGGTTGGGTCTGTGGTCAGTTGATCAGCTTGTTGATTTTGTTAAAGTGTCAGTGGGCTCTTCTTTGAAAACCACAACAACCTTTGCGTTGAAACCCTCAGAACTCTTCAGAGCAGTCTTTCCCAAGCCCGGACCCCCCCACCTCCCCACCCCTGGATGTGCTGGGCTAAAATACCCACTGCCCACAGCCAGCAGCATCATGTTATCTGGGGATGATGGTTGTTATAGTCCAGCACATTTGCAAATCTGACACAAGTTTGTGGAAGACTGTTTCAGGTAGTAGTTTGGAAGCTGAAAACCCTTTGGCATCTGGATTTGCTGCTATTGCTTTTTGCCACTGCCATTCATTTCCCCCCCTCCCAGACAGCAGAGCATCAAGTTTAGTCAGAAATTATCTTTCTGGAGCTGAAACAAGGTGACCTGGAAGTCTCCCAATTAATTCCCTCCTCAATAATATGAAAGGAGCTTGTATTCTGCAACTGCTCACAGTACAATGCCATATTTTCATGCTTGGAAGTCAAGCCCATTAAACAAAGAACGAAAGCTGGGCCCTAAAGGACTCTGCTAAAGTTAATGTATGTGAAGAAAAGTCAGTAAGGTTTCTTAGCCACCATGAAAAAAAATCATCTTCTGTTTTCTTCAGAGTATCAAGAGCTCTAACTTCTCACTGTCCGTATAGCCTGTAGAAGTAATAACTCCTGTTACTCCCAAATAAATCTAGGGTTTAAAGATCCTCTATTGGATAGGAGCTATACTGGCCAGCCAGACTTTATTTCCAAATTAGAGTGCAGGGTTTTGTTTTTTTTTTTTTAGTGCTCATAGTCAAGCGATGGTTGCAGATTTCCAGGTCACAAACTCACCTGAGTAACTTCAAGGAGAGCAGAGTACGCTACAGATCCAGGGCTCCAAGCCAACATGTTAAACCTGCCCTTCTGTATCTCCCCCACACAGAGGCAAAATATTAAATCCCTGCTTCTTAACCTTCATGGGTCTCTTTTATCACCACAAGACAAGTGGAGGTTTTGAACATCCTTGACCAAATCAAGCAGATGTGGCCTTGTTTAATGTACTCTATAAAGACCAACAATTGGGAAAATTCTATTATACAGCCCTCATAATCCTTTTCCTTACATACTGTTTACCTATTAATAAAATTATGAAGGCTGTGATCCCATGCACAATTACCTAGAAGAAATCCCCACTGAAAACAATGGGACTTACTACCGAGTAGACATGCATAGCGTGCTCTGTGACAGAGGTTGTCCAAGATCATTGCAGGGCTACCAATTGCCAGCACATTTATTTAGTAATAAGACCTTTAAAATTGATAGACATCATCCAGAGACAATTATAACAAGCATTATGTTCAATTGATGTTGTAAGGAGGAAAACTGACTTTTATGGAATAGCACCCTACACTTAAATATAAGTAGTTTCAGGAGGAGGGCTAACAAATAAATTGTTTATGATTGTAGAGGACTACATAGGTGTTTACAGACAATCAAGTATCCATACCCACGTTTACATATACACACCATTGATAGTGCAGTCCTATGCATGCTTACACAGAAAGTAGGTCCATTAGATTCAGTGGGGCTTGTTCCCTACTGCCTCAGTCAGGTCCAATTCAAGGAGAACAAATGAGGGAAGGGGACTTCAAAAGTGAATTTCAACCCCTTCAGAAATCCCTTTTAATAATCTGATATACCAACTAACAATTCATGAGGCCAATGAATAGCTTTCAAATTTGCATTTCATCCTTCTCTTTGTACCAGTGTTTTGACACAAATATTTTGCAGATACTGTACAAAGATGTGATGATTTTAAAGCGATATCAATGAATCCAACATAATAGACTTTATTCTTTTTTAAAAAGGAGTAAAAACCCAAAACCTCCTGAATTATGCACACAAAATTGTGAATGTGGAAAAACTCCATTATTCTTCAATCCACTGCTGTCCCCCCAAATCTAAACAATAGATCCTCAAAATGCAACAGGGTTACAGTTTTAAAGACGGGGGAAAGATCATCTTTAAGTGGAGAATCCCCTTGGCAAAGTCTTCCACTCTCACCTGTCCTCCACTACATGCAAGCTGTTAGATTTCCTCTCCGGAACAGACTCTCTGCCCCTTTGGTCTATTTCCTTCATCCCATTATCTGAAAATTATACACTATTTACAGCTTTGTGTCCCCCATCATTTAATTCCTCTGCCCATCAAAATTAATGGGGAAAGGAAAAAACCTGAGGACCCTTTTACATTGTAATTTCTCAGCTTGCATTTAAAGTGGGGGGGGAGAGAAAAAAAAATTTAAATTAGAAGAAAGTAGAGACCACCCTCTCCTTCCTCATAAAGTGACTGCCTTTTCTAACAGTTAATTTAGGGTTGGGGGGAGCCTCACATCTTAGGCATCTGGTGCTTGTTTGCATCTCTTCTTCTCTTGAACGTGAAAACAGGGTATATTTGAACAGAAACTGTTATGTCCCCCAAATGGAGGTGGAAGTAAATAGCCCTTTGGGGGAGGGCAGGGCGCATTTACTGATGCCTCTTCTTTGGGCTGGCATCCTTCTTGCACTTAGAGTTTACATTTTAATGGGTATATATATCAACTTTTGAAGGACACCCATTGGAGAACGTCTTTCAGTGGGCGTGTGCTGTGTTCCAGTGAACATTCATATATATAAATATATATATTATATATTTATTGGTTATAGCCAGTTTTAAACTATTTTTCTTTTGTTGGTTTTGTATTATTTATCCTTGACATTTATGTATTTATAAGAAAAATGTACTTTTTTTTAGTATTTACTTGTTATAAAGGAATATGGTGTTTCTCCTTGTCATTGTATTACCAATTTTTATTTTCTTCTTTTAGTTATTGTAATTTAGGGGAAAAGCCAGTAGTTACCTTCGTACTTAAAATAATGTGTTTAGTTCTACTGGAGGCATGAAATCAGAGCGTTATAGCCAGTTTTAATCTATTTTTCTTTTGTTGGTTTTGTATTATTTATCCTTGACATTTATGTATTTATAAGAAAAATGTACTTTTTTTTAGTATTTACTTGTTATAAAGGAATATGGTGTTTCTCCTTGTCATTGTATTACCAATTTTTATTTTCTTCTTTTAGTTATTGTAATTTAGGGGAAAAGCCAGTAGTTACCTTCGTACTTAAAATAATGTGTTTAGTTCTACTGGAGGCATGAAATCAGAGCCAGGCTGTAATTGTATAGTCCTCAGTTAGAAGAGCTAGTTAAACCCCAAATCCCCCTTTCTCCTCTACCCCGGCCACCCCGTTCCTCCTCCTCTTTTTTTGAAGCATCATTCTTTGTTCTTTACAGTAGGTAATTTTTATTTCTTTGCTTAAGGGTTGTCTGTTTAACAATTCTTGAATAAACGTTCTGTTCTTAATTTGCTCTTGTCCCATTGGTCGGATTTGAAAACACCAAGAAAAAGTGTGAGAGAGAAACTTTCAACAAACAATCAGATAGGAAAGTGCATAAAAACAAAAAGAAAGCATTTCTAGTTTTTTTAGAAATTAACGGGAAAGGCATTTATCTATCTCATCTTCTTCTGTTTAATCTCTAAGGTTACGGCTGCCGTTACTTTGTTTTACGGCTTATAAAATTGGAACGGGTTTCCTAGGCTGATTGTGTTTACTTAAAAAGTTAATCGCTAGGGGGTTTATATCTTCTCCTTCTCCTCCTCCCCCTACCTCCGCCACCCCCCTTCCCTTCCACTTTGAAAATCTTGTTCTAAATAGTCTCACGCCAATTAAAATTACCCCTCATCTTTGGTGAATACAAAGAAGGGCGATCACGTGCCATCCAGAGGAAACAGCCATTGGGCCTAAAATGAAAACAAAGGAAAATGATTAATCATAACAAAAGGCACAAGGGGCTTTCTTGCTGAAATTAAGGGGGGGGCGCACTATGAAATTAAATCACTAAATAAAACAAGAAAGGAGTCGAAGACAGCTGCTGCTGCGCCCTACAAAGTTGGGGGGAGGGGAGTTTGTTTGCAAAAAAACCCAACTAATTTGTATTTTATGCTCTCAACCCTTAAGAAAACTTATTTTTACAAGCAGCGCATTTCCATAAAACTTTTATGATGTCGGAACTGGATGTAAATAGCCTGTCAAATTAGAACGTCATGTTTATACGGCTGCGAGTCCAAGGATTGCAAGCAAAATGCGGGTTTGATTGAAGAAAGACCTCGGAAAGGTGCTGGGTTAACTCCGCCATTCTGAGCCAAAAGGTGTACTTCGCACCGTTTACTGTTGCGGGTGGCAGTAGCAGCAGTAGCAGTGGCAGCAACAATAGTGCTGTTCCTTTACCGTTCCTGTTATTGCCTTCCTCACCGCTAAGCAGTACAAACATGGTGCTGGGCGCTGGTCAGAAATCAAGTGAAGACCCTGCTTTTTCTTCCATGCACCCCCTCCTTTCCATGAGACTTTTACCATTTATGCAGGGCTGGCCAGATGAGATGTAGGGTGGCTCTGAGCGTCTTGTGGAACAGGACATCCCTCCCCATCCCTCCGCTGTGGGAGCAACACAATGTACTGTATTTAACTGTTACAGTTGAAGTTCTAAAGGTTGTTACCTAAGGCCTAAATCCAGTTGATACTCCTACCTAGAAGGCATGCTTCTTTTTTAATTTCCAGTTTGAGGGTCTTCCTAAGGCCTCAATCCAGTTGCTACTCCCAGCTTGAATAGACTCTATGGATCAATGGAATTAACCTAACTGTCGATTTACCACTCAGCAAATAATTAATGGGTCTGTTCAAGCTGGGAGTAGCAACTGGATTTAGAATGAAATATTTAAATTAATGAATAGTCAAATAAATAGAAGACATATTCAAGCTCTGTTCTAGATGTTGTGAGGCTACCACTCACCTCTGTTTCTCACCACTGGCTTCGCTGGCTGGAGTTGTTGTGACATGAAGGCCAACAACATTTGAGCAGTCACAGGTTGTCCAGCCCTATGCCAAACAATGGAACACATCTTTACTTTTCAGGGTTTTGCTGTTCTTCAGGAGCCACCGAACTGGGGAAGACACCAACAACGCTCTTGTTACTGGATATTATTTATTTAAGTATCAACCCTGCACTTACTTCTGAGAGTCTTACAGAGAATAAGAAACGTTTCTCAAAATCAAATCAAACACCAGGAATGGGGTGGCGGGAGCAGACATGTTTATTCCTTTGAGGGGAGGACTGGTGCTGTGGAAAGTCAGGTTTTAAAAGTCCTTCTTTCCTAAACATGGGCACTGTGGGGATTTCTGAAGACAGAAAACAGAGGATTTTGTGCTGCATCCATGACATTTTTCAGGATTTACTGTGATCATCTAGTTAGCTAGCTACCAGCTAGCTATCACTGTCCTTCTGTATAACAGAAACACAACTGTAATGAACAATCTTCCCAAATGTTTACTGGACATCCTGGCTGTGGGATTCTAAGAGTTATGTTTTTTTTTTAAATAAGTAATTTTTCCAAGCTCTAGTTACAACAGATGACTGCTACAAGTCATCATACTGACCACTGATAGGACTCTTCTGTGCACAGCTGGTTCCTAGTTTTGGGGTACTATAAAGGAACAGCAAAGTGTTGGTTTTTTACTTAACAGCAGTTGAATTTTCATGGCCAGGGATGGGAAAAGTATGTGTGGGATATATGCTTCATGTTCCAAAATATCTCACTTGACCACCAGTACTACCGTGTTTCCCTGAATATAAGACAAGGTATTATATTAATTTTTGCTCCAAAAATGCATTAGGGCTTATTTTCAGGGGATGTTTTAAATTTTATTCATGTACAACAATCTACATTTATTCAAATACAGTCGTGTCATCTTTTGGTTGCTGCACAATGCTACACAATGGTGGAGGGCGAGTTTTCACTTAACTAGGGCTTATTTTGGGGGTAGGGCTTATATTACGACCATCCTGAAAAATCATACTAGGGCTTATTTTCAGGTTAGGTCTTATTTTCGGGGAAACAGGGTATGTACTTCAGTTTCAGTAGGTTGGGTGCCATTTGCTGCTCTGCCTCTGGAATCTCAATGCCATGGCCTGGCAAAAGCCACTGCATGTAGTAAATGACAAAGATGAAAATAGAATGTAGTAGATTCTTCATGTCGTGGTGTCAATCCTGGGCAATGGATACTAGATTCCTCTAGTGTAAGATGTAGACAGTATATCCTGTACTTACAAACTATCTAGCTTAGTATTGTCACCAACCATGAACACTATATATTACCTTCAAAGTCTGAAGAAAACACCTCTGTATATGAGTTGCTGGGGAACAGCAGTGGGAGAGTGTCACTGTGCAGGTTTCCTGCTTGTTGGTGTACCACGGGAGTTGGTCGGTCACTGTGTGAAACAGGATGCTGGACTAGAAAGGACTTGAGTCTGACCCCCAAGGGCTTCCCTTGCCTACCTAACTGGAAACACCTGTTTGAATATCAGAAGGACTTGTACCAGCCCTAAATCCTTTTAACTCCACAGTGCCATATATATAATATACGAAAAATATCATAATGTTCTTTCACTGAATTACAGTCTCTTTTGAGTCATATACATATATCTGGGCCAAATATTACCATTGGAGTGTAGCAATCTCTATAAGGTGGAGCCATCTGGGAAGGATTCACCCTATGCTTCCTTCCACCCCCACCCCATTATCATTATCATTATCCACTTCTCGAAGCCAGTGACATTACTAAGGCAAAGAAGCAATATTTGGCACAAACCAACTGGCTTTTCTTGACCACAGTAACAGACAGATGTTATGGTAGTCATAACAAATGCTTGATCTTGTAAGTAGACAGGCCCCATCATCACAACATCTGCCATATCAGTTCACCAGTTCATACACAGAATGGGCACCAATTGCTGTCACATTAATTTGACAAGGATGGGAAATCTCAGAGCTTGGGAAAGTTCATATTTTATACTCGCCACTGGCCTTGCTGGCTATGAAATTCCGGAAGTTGTCACTCAAAAGTAACTTCCCCAAGGCCTGGGCAACTCATCAAGGTGAAAGTGGCTCCTCTCATGTCTCTCCTTCACTGTGCCTTGTTACCGATAGCCTGTGTGATCAGATCCATACTTCAAAGATAATAAATAAATCAACCCATATACATAGAGATTTCGGGCAACAGCTTATAGGCAACTTACTGAGTCCTCTAAAACTGCACTGAAGTAATCATTCCTGGATTGGACCCTCCAAGCACTGCTCCTGGGTTTTGTTCTGTCTCCAGAACTACCTGTTTTACAGGTTTTTGCTGTAAGATGTTCCATGAATGGGATTGTGATTATCACAGTCTGCAGTCTACTGATTCCCAAGCAGTTTCATCAACAGAGATTCATCAGAGATTCATCAGAAAAAGAGATTAAAGAGTGTGCTACATATGCAATGAAGGATCCCCTTGCTTTAAAAACTTGTCTATCAAAGTTGTGTTGGTCTCTAGCCCTGTCTTTAATTAATGTAGAAGAGGAAAAATTGATTACATTCACAGATGGGCATGCACTTCAGGCCAGAAAGTTTTGCAAGAAATATTATTTTAATTTTCTTTTATATTTGCTTTTGCTTTGTTTTGTTTGGTATTCAGCTGATAATTACAGCCTTCCTATAAGCATAAATAACATTAAAAAACAAAACAAAAACCTGAAGTGCTCTTTCCCTTGTGTCCATTACTGTAGCTGGGTTATGTTCATCCATGCAAGAAGTAATTTAATATTCTGTGATATTATAATTTAAAAGCACAAGACCGTGGAAACTTTGATTGGGATCTGATCAAACAACAATAGTCAAGAATGTAATGCCATCACCTCCTTTCTTCTCCCATTTCCTTTTGAATGTGATTTTATGGATGATATAACTGAGCTAAATATTGGCCTCCCTGTTACTCAGAACCATGTGAAAAGGTTTCCTCAAATAAGTTAATGTAATGTCAGCCAAAAGGTCCAGTTCCTTGCACTATATAGTCATAAATAAACCTCACAAAGAAATGAGAGAATCAGCAACCTTAGCTTGGGGCAGTGTTGCAACCACCATCCTTAAATGAAAGCAATGTCACTTAAATTGGTCTGATCTGACTTTCAAGAGCATAAGATTAGAATCTGATATAACCCTATAAATTTCCCCTGCCGCCACCCCATTTTATTATTGTTCTTGTTCTGATCTTCTGTTGACTTTTTTTAAATGGAGAATCTCTGTTTCTCAAGCACATGTGGCTCCCAGTGTATGAAATAAGGAAGACTTTGTGTTATTTTATTTATTTAAATGCTTCCAAATTGTAATATAATAGTTTAATCCAATACTCAAGAGATGTCTCACTCACTTAAATTGGGGTTTAACTCCATGTAAACATATATGGGATAGCAGCCTAAATTTGCAATAGATTCAGTTTAAGCAAGGTTAATTTGTCACTAGGTTGTAAAGAGACAGTTAGCTTCTTCAGATGCACTTTCCAGCAATATATCCTTACATTGAAAGCTCTCCACCTACACATGCAAACACACACACACACACAGGGGGAGAGAGGGAGAGATTCTAAACCTGCTATAGATGGACTCTGGATTCCACTGAAAAAGATGACCTCATGTTCCATTTCAATCCATAATGAGCTATGTGTTTCTTAAATTAAACATTGTTATAATATGAGCAGGGGGAGTAGTCTTAAATGAGGATGAATGTTTTATTTCTCTCCCTTTTCTGTCCTCATGCAAAAATTTCAGAATCTGAGATGCTCCCAGTCAATTTGCCTTTAAAATCACTATCATGTATTTTTGCAGGCAGTAAACATCATTTGTGTAATATTTCAGTCTTTCCCAGCCTTCCCATCAGTATCATTCAATTTGGGGGCTTAAGAACAAGAAACCATTTTTCACAATATAGACTTTACCACAAATTACTTGGATTCTGTTTCAAGAGCCAAAAGTTCATGATATTTTAAACATGTTGTACCATATCATTATTCCCATGTATAAAATACCCACATATGTAGTTTTGTATCAGTCAGTCCTTACATAATAATAAAAACTTTTTATGTAGTGCCATTGCAGATGAACTGCGTATGAACAAAAACATTAGGGACTTTTAGCTGAAACTAGCCACTGACAGCATTGACCAACTGACAGTGGAAATGCAGTAAGCTGAAATTTGATAAGGCAAATGGATTTCCTGTAAAAATGTGATGCTTATTGCCTCAAAATGGGCCTGAAAGTAGAATTATGCTACTAGACTGTGCAGGGCTAACCTAAGCATTAAAAAGTAGCCATCCCTTAAAAACAACAACAAACAACTATCATATTTCACTCTGTATTCTTTCCATTGTAAGGACGCTAAGGCTGCAATAAAATCTTCTGAAAGTTTGGCCAATATTCACCAAATGCCAGGAAAACTATAACTACATCATATTGTAGTTAGACAAGACTAATGTTTCCTAAATCCAGATCCTGATATTAGATTAAAACTCCTACCAGGGCCTTCTATCTGGGGATGGTGAGAGTTACAGTCCAAAAACTTTGAAAGGCACCCTGTTGGAGAAAGTATCTTTATATTCAACCTCACAGTATTATTAAAAGCATGTGGATGCACATGCACAAAGTTTTGAACTGCCTCTTTCTAGCCCCAGTCCAAACAATTATTTCAGTAGTATGTCAACAGGAACATGGATGAACCAAGTGTTTTAAACAATGTAGACTCACAAACATTGTGTGGGTGAGCTGGGGTATTGGAGAAGAAATAGAAAAAAAATGTGCCTAAAAGCCAAATAAATATTCTTGCTTTTTCAAGTCCCATACCATTCAAGAGGAGAGGTTAGTACTGAATTCTCCCATTTAAACCTGTGGGGCTCAAAAGCATAGAAGGTTACCTTGATCATGGCTCATATCATTGCATAAAAATTAGCATATACAGTACTGTTACTAATTGAGATGCAACTAGCGGTTATACTCTCGAATGGCATCCAAAGTGATTTTTAAAACAACTTATATTGCAAGCAATGCTTCTTAGTATCACTTTCTTCTCTGCAGCAAAAGGACACAGTTTTGAACTATTAGAAGATAGTTGTTCAAAATAATGAAAACTGTAGTAATAGTGGTAGCAACAGCAGCCCCAGTAATAATAACAATAATAGCAGTACTGTAGATTTCAGACCAAATCTTAGATCAACAGGGGCTTTGAGAGTGTTCTCTTTCACACTTCCAAAATCTCCATTTGCTCTGGGTTTGAGCTTTTTATTTATTGCCACCCACACAGATGTTTGAGTTGACAAAAGTTTCTAAGCTTTGTTCCATCCCTTGATGTTTCACTGCCCTACCATCTACTTTCAAGTAGGCCCGTGGATGGGGACAAATACAGCTCAAATAAATAAAACAAACAAAAAATTCTAGAGTTTCAGAATGTTTTAAAAATTCCTTTTTATTTCTCCTTTTCTGAACTTCTCCCTTCAGTCTCCAAACTGTCTCGTTTTTTGTACCTTCACTAAGCAGATCTAAATTGTTGGGTGCAGGGAGAATCTGCTCTTAGGAATTTTGATGAACGTCCAAATTCTTTAGGATGTTAGGAGAGGCCGGGCTGTCACAAGCCTTTGGTAAGAAAAGATTGATCGCTTCTCTGGTGCTCTCACCCTCCCTCTCTTGCTCGCTACTCTTTACTCCTTAAGTTTCTGTGCAAGTTTTTAAAAAGACGTTTGGAAATATTATTGGGTGCATGTTGCAAACTTGTATTAGAAAATAAACTCTTAGAACTGATGCGAGATGGATATGTTTTGGGGAAAGGGAAAAATATTTTACTGTAACTTTTATTTCGCTCTTCCCCCCCACCACCACTTTAAAGTAAACTTTTTTCCTGCTTATATTTAGTTAATAAATTCACTAACTCACCCTGTTCTCCAAAATCCCTTTCAACATTCTTATTGGTCTCAACACCAGAGTGGAGCAACTGTCCAGCAAGAACTCTATCCAAGTTCCTTTCATACTAACCTGAGTTCACCAGCTGACTTTACCACTTTATAACTTTCTAAAACTGCAGGTCCAGATAGATGCAAATCTCCAATTCGACTTGGTTTTCTTTCATCAGGTTTCAGCGTGACCAGTCATAAACCAATGTCCCCTGATGCTACTGGGACGATTTCTTCTCCACTCATCCCTGAAGTCCTCTCCTGTCCTCTGGGACAAGATTCAGGGTCCCCTTCTTTCCTCATTCGTCCCTCCTAGGTATATTGGGCCAACATCAGTGGCTCAGCCCTGGTGAGAGAGGAGTCAAAAGACAAACTGTATTCAGCCACTCTTATCATCCCCTCCTCGCTCAAAACATTCCTTCACATCCTCCTTTGGGTTCACCTTTCTAACCCAAAGAACACCACCATGAACTGCGCCTCTCCAAAAGCTATGATTATTATTGTTACTGTTTTTATTATTATTATTACTGGCCTTTAAATGGGGAGAAAATCCTTCTGTTTTCAACTAGGCTGGCCGTCCCATTGGGCAAGCCCGGCCACGTGACCAGGAATTGGCTGCAATTTATCCCTGCTCGTCAGTTTAATAGAGCAAGGGTCCCCATACGCCTGTATTATCAGCAATATAAGATTTTTTTAAGGGGGGAGGGAGGGGGAGGAGGCCGCAAATAATATTCATACTAAAGCGTTATAAAATATTGGACGGGGGCTTCGAGATCAATCCTTCCTTCCTCCCCCTCCCACCCACTCCCCCACCCACCCACCCGCATTTCTCCCCCTCGTCCCCCTCCCTTCTGCACCGGGCCCCTGGAAAAAGCCATGAATTTTGAATTTGAGAGGGAGATAGGCTTCATAAACAGCCAGCCATCGCTAGCGGAGTGCCTGACGTCCCTTCCCGCTGTCCTGGAGACATTTCAAACTTCATCAATCAAGGAACCACCGACGTTAATTCCTCCTCCTTCGGAACAAACCCTTCTCGGCTTGGATCCTTGTTCCTCCTCCAGCAACATCAGCAGCAGCAGCAGCAGCAACAGCAAGAGCCAGCCCACGCTAAGGAGCCAAAAGAGACCGAGACATGGGCAGGCCCAGAAACCCACGCTCCAGCCTCCTGCCTCTGCTTCCTCCCTGGCTGGAGAATTTCCCTGGATGAAGGAGAAGAAATCTTTTAAGAAAGCCAGTCAAGCCCCTGCTTCAAATTCCCCCTCCTCCGCCTCTTCCTCCTTGCCCGGATCTGCCGCCGGTTCTCCTGCAGGTCTGTATACCGAAAAGGGGACGGCAAAGGCGAAGGATGAACCCTGGGGAGGCAAGGGCGGACGGAGCAGATTTTCTGCGGTTTTTAAAGCCACGCATTCCTGGGACAGATTTTTAAAATATACATATATATATAATATACTTCATGGTTCCCAGTCCTAATCCATCTTGAATCAAAACAAATGGTGATATTTTAAAAAGAGAGGATCGATTTTTCCTTCTTTCTGTCTTTCTTTCTTTCTTTCTTTCTTTCTTTCTTTCTTTCTTTCTTTCTTTTCGCCGCCTTTAACCAATCTTTAGAATATAAATAAAGCCACCTTTCGTTACCGTCTGTATTAATTTCTGGCCCTTCTGTCAAAAGTTACCTCCCTTCGCCCGTATTGTGGTTGTTTATGCTTTGGCTGCTTAACAGAGGAATAATCTGGTCATACCCTTTTGGAGAGGGGCGTTTAGTATAAAGTTCTTTTATTTCAAGAGGAAGAGGAAGGGGAGAAGGAGAACAGTTCTTTTTTATTAATTTTTTTTTGCCGACCTTCCAAAAATAACCTTTCCTACACTCATCCTGTCCCTCCATCCAAGGATCTTCCATTTTGTGTCGCGCCAATTAAATCCCCTGCCATCACCCTATAAGTCACCAAGCTGGGAAAGGAAAAGGGGTTCTTTCCCTGATCTTCCGGTGCCCTCTCTCCACATATGCCCAGATGCCCCCAAAGGTGCCGGGCTTGGGTTGCCCACAGACAGAAACCTTTAGAAAGACTGGGATTCGGGTTGGGTCCAAAACTCCACGAAGGAGACTCCAGGAGTCCCGGCTAGCGAGCGCAGGAAAGGATCGCGTATTTTTCCGACCCGTTTTTCCCAAGTTATGTCACCGATAAAAATAGGGATGCAGCTATTTTATTTCCTCCCTATAGTCACCATTAACATATATATCTATAGATTTCGTTAACATGCCACACAGAAGAGTATCTTCTAAGGCAGGGAGACACGAGAAAGCGTTAGGAGGGAGTACAAAGCAGAATAGGGTAGGGGACTGAGCGACAAAGAAAATTATCGTTCTCCGCTGAAATTTAACAGGAGGCGCTGGGATCTGTGACTTCTCGGTCTTCCTCAAACGTGGCTTGAATGCTTATTTCCCCCTACCCAGAAGGAGGTTGAGGGGAATTATTTTTCCCTTTTGTTTGTCGAGGCCCCATCCAAATGCTCACTCACGCACGCACATGCACGCACCTAGCATGTAGGGCTGAGGCTAGGCTTGCCCTGGCCCCACATGGCCAGGAACTTAAAAATCTGTTCCAACGTGTCTGGAGTGTACCAGTGTGCGTGGAATTCAAGTAGGGTTCCCGCGGCCTTTTGTCTAAGATGCACAAAAAGCCAAAAGCGTTGCCACATTTCCGCCATATTCTGTATCCTGGTTACTTTTTGAGTCTCCTCTTAACAAAAGTAACATACGGGTGCCAGACTGCCTGTTTAGCACGGTTCTTGGGATAGTGTACTTTAGTCTTGTATAATTATTTTTATTGCTACTGTTATTACTGTTGCTCTTATTGTGATTCTCCTCCGTCAAGACGTCCAAGGATTCTCAGAGGGCAGCGGGACCGGCGGCTCTCGACGGCTGAGGACGGCTTATACCAACACGCAGCTGCTGGAGCTGGAGAAGGAGTTCCATTTCAACAAGTACCTCTGCCGACCCCGTCGGGTGGAAATCGCAGCGTTGTTGGACTTGACGGAAAGGCAAGTGAAGGTCTGGTTTCAGAACCGGCGGATGAAACATAAGCGGCAAACGCAGCACAAGGAAATCCCCGACGGAGGGGACGGCAGCTTGCACCAAGGCAACGAAGAGGTGGCAGAGGAGGAGGAGGCGGAGGAAGAAGAGGAGGGCAGCTCTCCATTTGGAGGCGCCCTGGAGATCCCTTGCCATTACCCAGCCGACACCAACAGGGAGCTGTCCAGGGCCCCCGCTGGTTACCTGACACCGACAGAAGACGCAACCCCCAACGCCGGACCAAATGGGACAGCTGGCACTCGCTCTTCCTCCTCCTCTTCCTCTTCCACCACCTCCTCCTCGTCATCGGACAATGCCTTCCTTGAAAGCCAGAAGTCTCCTTTGTTGCCCCCAGACCTGAATATCTTCTCCATGGATTCCTGCCCACAGACCTCAGAAGGGCTTTCTCCCAGCCTCCAGGGGTTCTTAGACAGCCCTGTCAGTTTCTCCGTGGAAGACCTGGACTTTTTTACGAGCACACTGTGTACCCTTGATCTGCCGCATTTGAATTTCCAGTAAACACCCAGAACGACCTTTCCTCATCTGCCTTGGGTGATGTGCCCTCTTAAATGCACACAAGCATACACACCAACACTCCCTGGTCATTTAAATCAAAAGACACCACCACCACCACCTTTTGTTCACTGATTCCTCACGTCGGGTCTGCCTCCCCTTCGAAAGAGGGGGCGGCTGTATTTAGATGATCCATCTCTAAAAAATATTGGCCACATTTTAGAAAAAGAATAAAGTAACCATATTCAGCCATGGGAATGGTGAAGGGATGGGCGTCAGGCTGGTGCCTAAGTATTAGAGATACAAAATATGGAAGATGTACCCTAGAGTAAGAGAAGACGGTCCTTTGAAAATTTAAACTTCTTTGGAATTAAGATTTTCTCCCCACTTCCATTACCCCGCATCCATTTCCACCTAACATACATCCAAAATTTTCCAAGCATTTGCAAACAAACAAGAAGAAAAATGTCTGCCAATTTTTAAAAAACGAATTTCTCAGGAAGACATTTAGATTTCTTAATTTAAAAACGAAATAGAAATAAGGAAGAATTTTTAAAAACACCGGAGGTTTTCCCTTCCTTAATGTTTTAGAGGTAGATTATTTATTCAAATGCTTTAATAGTCAAATGCAAATTATTTATTGTACATTATTTTCATAGATTAAATAAATGGCTTTATAGTCTTAAAATACTGCACTCCTGTTTTATATGGATATTTTTAAAGAAGAAGAAATATGATTTACGTTTGTTTTCTTTAACAGTCACGATGTTTTGTTCCACTTAGACTGCTGTAACAGAGAAAAGGGGGTCTGCCCGACATTTAAAGGTTTTATATGCATTTGAAGGTTTACAAAATACGAATATACTTTAAAATTATATAATTGTGGGGATTTCAAAAACACAAGAATCTGCTATATTGTTATTGGTGATATCTATAAATACACAATGCAAAGAAGAATCCTTTAAAATATCTGGCATTACAAAAAAACCACAAAATTATCAGGCTGGAAAGATTTAAATGCCTGTATTTCAAAACTGGTTTTATCCTTGAGACAGCGTGGGCGGGCGTGGGGGGGGGGAACAGAGCAGGAGTACGGAGTATCTTCATAACACAAAGACTAATCCGGAGTCTGCTACAAAGTGAATGTGGAATAAGAAATGGTAATACGAAACTCTCAAACGAAAAATGATCATAATGAAGGTCCCAAAAATAGCGGTAATGTCCGAAATGTGTAGATTTTTTTAAAGTACCCCTCTTAATATACACATCAGTATTTAAAAATGTGGGGGGCGGCGGGAAGGGATTGTTAGGATGGTAGTTTTCAGATTGTGTTTCCAACAGTCAACGGGTACTACAGGATAGTAAAGGGGGGGCATAGTTATTTGTACAAAATTTCAACGATGCGGAAGAAAGAAGTGTTCCGAAATGAAATACACGCGCCCAAAAGACGAGAGAAGGCAAGTAGGGTGGAAGTGAGGTGAGGGACATTTTCCCATACAGATCGAGGATCTTCAGTTATTAATTCTAACTACCAAATGAAGAACGTAAAAGGAAAGGCGAGGTTTTTATCGGTTTGCTTTCTTTTTCCTTCTTGCTTTCTTTCTCGGTCTCTCGCGTCAGTCCTCCCGTCCTTCTTTCCTCAGGGTGAAGGTAAAAGACCAACCCGGAATTAACGAGGGGCGGCTGGTGGATCAGGATGGGGGGGAAGGCAATGTTGAGGTGACCCCCCCCGCTCCATGAGCCTCCCACGTATTCAAGTATATTGACGGCTCCCCTTTCCCCGCAAGGCTGACCATTTAGCGACCTTCATTTCCAACCCCTTGTTTTGAAACCGAAAAGAGCGGTTCTCGCAAGGGCTGGATTGAGGCCGAGGCGTCCAGGGTGGGGGAACTCGCTGGCGTTTATGACAGACACAACGTTAAAGCCGGAGCGCGGGCGAGCAGAAGTAGACACACGCACACGGACACAAATAAATCATATTACGTCTTTGCTAAGTCACTGGTGTTTCCCTTAACATGGCAGGATTCTGGGAGGCATTCAACTCTCAATTGCGGGCCAAAGCAACAGACTAAGATCCCTGAGAGGAAAGGGAGGAGGAGAAACGGATTGGAGCCTAGGCGCTGGCGAAGGGGAGGGAATAGGAGCTCAAAATGGCGCAGAGAGCTAGACCTACACAAGTCGAAGGTGGGGAGGAGGCGCGGAGCGGCCCAGGCAGCCATTATAGCTGGAAGAGAGTGTTTTATTCTTTCGGAGGCAGCGAGCGTGGGCTGCTGGAATGTGGACTAGTGGGTAGGATTCTGAATAGGCAGGGGGGCTTCTGAAATCCCACCATCTCCCTGCCTTAACGTTTTATTCAGCCAGATTAGACCGTTATCATGATGGGTTTTACATCTAAGGGTTCCTTTTTTTTAAATGGATGGCATTTTAAGATCCACTGATACAAGGTTCCCCATTGTATTTTATTTCTGTTCCTGGATATATATTTTTTCTCCATTAACAAAAAAAAAAAAAAAAAAAAAATTTTTTTTCTCCATTAACCAAAAAAAAAAAAAATCACATCTTAGAACGATGAATCCCAGATGTATAAGATCCATATTTATAGCAGGAGGAACAGCAAAGGCCTGCTCTGCACATATTGCTGCATTTTTCCCTCCCATGCACACAGAGAAGAGAGAAATTCTGCTTTTGGAATCTGCTATATTATAATGACTATAGGTAAGCGAAATGTAATAATGCACAGAAAACCCTGTTAATTTCTACCCGTACAACAAACTGAAATATATTCTGTAGAAACATGCACACATAATTATTTATCAATGTAGACTCCAATGCAATAAGCCTATGAGAAAACCTATGAATAAGACCTATTGAAATTAACGGAATTTATTTCAGAGTCAATATCTATAGGCTTGCATTGTGAACCTGCACTGCTGTGTACACAACTACCTAGGAGTCAGCCCCAGTGAACACAATAGGACTTACCTCTGAATAAACATGCATAAGACAGCACTATGATACTGAAATACACAGTTACAAAGATGTGGATACCATGAAACACACTGAGACACAAAATTACACTGTTATCTGCATTTTATTTATATGTTATTCATTTATATTCCCTTCTATCCTAATTGGACGTTGTTCAAAACAGAGGCAAGAAGCTATATGATGCAAATATTCCTTTCCCCACTTTTTATTTTCTTCTTAAAAATAAGTATTCCTTTGTTTAAAATGTGTACAAATTTTTGAAAATGTTTTAAAAGAATTTTTCCTGATCCTGCACACAACAATCTGATTCTGTTATGTGGGAATCCAGATTTTCCATTGCATATAATAGATGGTTGGCTGCAAAAATGGTTAGCTGTGATACAGAATTTTGTTCCTGTGCTGGTGACAACAATACCTCTGCAATACTTGTTCTCCTTCCAAATCATTTTTCCTGGAACAAGCAGCTCTTCTACACATTCTGAGAAGCAGCCTGCAGCCTGCTGCAAGGGATTCTGAGATTTATTGTTCTGTCCCTAGTTGTCTTTTTGAGGCTCACAGAAATATGATCAACCCCTTTATTGTAGTCAACAGACCATTTTTAGCAGAAGCAGGTCTTTTGTAAAGCCAATGGATCTTGTGATACCCAGTGTGGTGTAATGGATACAGTGAAGGCCTAGGACTCAAAAAACCCAATCACAACCTGGTTATGGAAACTCATGTACAGTATCTCACTTACCTGGAAAGCCATATTAGGTTACTATAAATCAGTTGCAACACAATGGATGTTGCCCACCAAGATCAGGATACTCCCAATTATTTTGAATTGGGTATAACTTGACACATGATAGGTTGCTGGTAAAAATATACTTCCTTCCCCAGTTATGGTGACAATTTCAAACCAACCAGTTTGAAATTAATTCACACACACACTCCTGGCAATAAAACAGGAGTGGGATTAGCATGAGAGACAGTGATTGGCCCACTTTCAGCCAGTGAGCTTCATGTCTGAGTGAGAATCTGAATGAGCAAATGTTTTCCCATGTCTGATGCTTTAACCACTACACTGTTTCAGCTGTTTGTGGAGCTGGGCTGTATTCCATGCAGCCCTTCCTCATCCTGTCTTGGGTCTTGGAGAAGGGATGATAGCAAAAGCATTCAAAAACACCCTTCAAAATTGTCTCTTCAGCAGGAAAAGTATAAGAACTCGGTGAACATACTGTTACCTTCATGAGCCTGTGAACTGGAGTCTAAATTACACAGAATACTTTAACCTGATGATAACCATCGGTGTACATGCTGCTGTTTGATTAACAACTGGAAAAAATAAGAGCATATGTGGGGTGCAAATGGGACCCTGATGAGGCAAGGTATGGGGTTACATATGTTCTGCTCAGCTGGTATTGCAACCCCCATCCCAGCTATTTTTACCACTACTCCATTGACTGTAGTAAATGGGGTGATTATATTTCTAGCAGTACCAATGAGGCATGCAGGGACTGAACAGCATGTTTTTTTAAGCAGCAAATGAATAACCAGATCAACATTACCAGAATATCTGGAGCCCAAAGCTTGAGAACTTCTGCCATTATCTTTTTCCTAATCCCATATGTAGATGAACTGGTTGAGATTATCCAAAACTTGAAGGAAAGGCACTTAGCAAATATTCATCTATGTATGAATGTCCCGTGGCTGCTGAAGTGAGTGACTCTGCATCGTGCAGTTTAGTGGTTAGAGCACTGGAGTAGGACTGAGGAAATGTAGATTCGAATTCCTTCCACAACCATGTGACCTTGTGTCAATTATTTTCTCTCAGACCTCACAGGCTTACCCCACCCAGGAGGCTAATAGAGGGCAGGGAATAATACAGGATGATCTGAATTTGTGGGAAGAGGTGAATGTGATGATGATTACATTGTTGATGGTGATGGTGACACAATAGTAATGATGGTGGCAATGGTTAGGGTGATGATAAGTGAGTTGTTCCTACAGGAGGTGACAATCAATGGGTGTCTGTTTGAACCAGGATGAAATGGATGAAATACTGCCACAGTGAGTCCTCTGCTCAGTGCCACACAGTGAATATTAGCACACTCTATTACACCTTATGGTACCACATTCAATTACAAGCAAAAGTGTACCCCTTCAGACCAATTTGGTGATTTTGAAAAGCAAGCTGATTCTCCAGTCCAAAACTAAAGACTCATTCAAGAGTCCAGATTCTCCAGTTGACCATAATGGGAAATGAACAAGCAGCTACTGACTGCTTGTCAGTACTGGATGTTATCCGCATTCATAGTAACTTTTTATGACAGGAGCAAACCTGAAAGGATTAAATACAGGATACCAGCCAAAATCTTGTTGATTAGCACAGTAAATCTCACTAGAATAGACCCAGTAAATCAATATTTGGTGAATAAACCTCTCTGTAAGTTCTATTGAGTCAAATGGACCTGCTCTAACTGTGATTTACTATGTTAAAGTAAATTGCAGTTAAAGTAGGCCCATTTGAATTAATGGAACTTATGTAGGAGTTGACTCACCAACTCACCATGGACTCAAGGGACCTACTCTAGTGCAACCTACTACACTAATCAACAAGATTTTGGCCATTGTGTGTAAGAGTAACCTGTATATTCTGGAGAC